TAAAAATTAATTTTTGTTTAAATAATTATATAATTAAAATAATTCACACAATATTAGTGTAAAATTAAGGATAATTTTTGTAATTTTTAATATTAATTATGTAAAATATATATAATAATTACTCTAATACTTAAATTAAAAAAAATTCTTATTTTATACTTAGTTAAAATTTATTTTGGTAACTAATTAATTATTTTATGACTTAATATGGCGTTTATTGAGATAAAATGTACCATTATTTATTTTAAAAACATTATGATTATAATGATACGTGAGATGTATTATTGTATAATTGGTTTTTTTATTTAAGAATTTATTTATAACATTATATGTATTTACTTTTTTGATAACACTATACTCATTTAATATTATATTTTATTATAAATTTATAATTTCATATAACATTATAATTATGACATTATGATATTTATATTGTATATCTATTTATTTGATGTATTATAGTTGTTAAACCTCATAAGCCTTGGTTGTCAATAAGAATTGTTTATTTAGATATTATAATTAAATAAATAAATTATTCTAAAATAAACATCTCTACTAATTAGTATAATCCTTATTAAAAATAATATTTTTTACTAAAATTTTTATATCTAAAAGTTATATTAATTCTTAATTAATTTAAAATTAAATTAAATTAAATTCATTGAAAAAATTCCCTCAAAATTTATATTTTCTTTTATAAGATCCAAATTTAAAATTTTATTTTAAAAAATTAAAATTTTCCCACTCTATCATTGATTTAATAAAAAATGGCATGATCCTTTTAAAAAATGGCATGATCCTTATAAAAAATGGCATGATCCTTATAAAAAATGAGATCTTTTTCCTAATAACACGGCTAATAAATCCCCAATACCAACCGCCTTACGTAAAATTTCCCTAAACCCTACGCGAATCCCAGTATGAGCCAATACGCTCGCAAAAAATGACATTTCCAGTAACTGGAGAACAGAAGCCAATACGCTCGCAATTGTTGAATCCTCCGTCCGAAGCTTCTGGTACAATCTTCTCCTTGTCTAGGGTTCCCCTGTTTTACTTGACATTTTACTTGTTTCTTTCTCGTTAACTTATGTTACTGGTTCTGTAATTGCACCAAACCAAAAGTCCTTCTTCAGTCCACGCCTGCACTCCGGGATAACCTGCAAAGCCCCGAGGTGGAACTCGGGGGTAGACACTCCGATGCTTAAGTCAGCAATAATCGGGGCTACCTTTAAGGCGGAGATAAAAAGAGCTTAAGGTTGGTTTCAATTACCTTTTTACATGGCCCGGGGGGTATTTATAGGATCCAATGAGAAACCCACATGGCATGCCAAGCAAGATATTCGGGATTTGATGTGTATCTCCAAACGGTTATTTTGGGACCGGGAAATTGAGAGATATTCCGATGGGAGGATGCCTATCATAACCGCTGTATAGCTCATCATAAGGAATCGGGTGCGGGCATGCTCATTGTTACTGTCATACAGCTATTTGAGCGGGAAGCTTTGGGTTTATCCTTCACTTCGGTCATAAAGGAATTACTGTAGCAGTTCGAGACTTGGCACCTCGGACCTGTCCTTACACTATTCCCCCCCGAAGTCATTCACTTGTGAATGATGTTGTTGGGGAATAATGAGGGGAGTACATAAACAAAGAGAATTACAGATAAATCATAGAAGTAAAAGGAAGAAATAAAATTTGTAACTCAAATGCATACATAGCCGTGTACAATAAGAAGAGAGTGTGACCAGAACGATCGTGGCCGTAGACATGGTAAAAATAATGACCGGAGTCAATGTGGCCGTAGCCATAGTAAGGGATGATGACCGAAGTCATGGTGGCCGGAGCCATGATAAAAAATGATGACCGGAGTCATAATGGCCGGAGCCGTGATAAAGAATGATGACCGCAGTCATAATGGCCGGAGCCGTGGTAGAATATGTGACATGTAACCACAGTAACCAGA